GGGTGAGGTGACCTTCTATCTGCCAAAGTGAAACGGGGGGGGCTGTAATTTTCCAGAATTGGAGTGGTGTGTTCGAGCATGGCTTCAAGCGAAATATTTTTTGGGGCACCTGGTTAATAAAGCGTTAATGGTGACTGATTAGGGTTTGAATGAGAAATTACTGTTTTGTGGAATTATAAAATAGTCAGGATTGGGGCAGTTCAGGTTTCAGTTCATACTAGCACCAATTGTTTTTGCCTTTGATATCATCAAGCTTCCAGAACATCACAAAAGTAATTTGTGTAAGGTGTCATCTTCACCTTTCTGCCGAACATTGGATGTACCATCTATTTTATGCCAGTAAATTCTGCTTTATCCAGATCGTAGTGTGTTTAAACCAGCACTTCTGCATTTCATATTGGGATTCAAAACAACAGGGGGGGGGAGGAGATGCTCAGTGCCTGCCTCCCACAGCCCCCTGACTTGTGTAAAATGGGGCGGGGTGGGGTGTAGTGGGGTGGGGTGGGGGCCTTATGAAACTTCCCATCTGCCATTCATTATGATTCAACAGCAAAGAAAACCGCACCTTCTCCACGGTTGGGGCTGGGGGAGGGGCAGCAGTCGCTGCTGTGGGGCCTCAGGACTCACCCTCTCTGAGCCTTGACAGAACCACCTGCGAAGGGTCCAGAGGCCCCTGAACTGTGCGTATCTCCAGGGGAGTGGTGTTCCAGAACTTTCTAGCACTTTCAAGAACCTCTCAAAGGGGACTCTGCACCCAGAAACAGCCAAGATCTGCTGGATTGGAGACAAATTGCGATCCCCCCTTTGCTGTGAGTCAGGAAGCAGCCCTATGTCACCCTGTGTCCTCGTCCTCCTTCGAGGGTCCTGCCGGCTGAGGGAGTCAGGGCAGGGCCCTGCCCAGAGGCTGCCCCCACCCGACCGCCTGTGCCCGGGCTGCGGATCGTCGGCTCCTTCTGGCGTCCGATGCCGCCTGGTCCGGGTGACCTTCCCTGACTCCCTGTGTAAAGCAGCTCAAGCCCCTAACAGCTCCCAGCTCCCGTTCCCACTTTATTTTCTGCTCAGAATGTATTGCCATCCAACAGGCTTGAATATTTGTTCAAAATGTCTTTCCTGCCCTGGCCGGGTGTCAGTCGGTTGGACACCTAAAGGTTGCAGGTTCGATTCCCAGTCGGGGCACATACTTAGGTTGCAGGTTTGATCCCCGGTCCAGTCGGGGCTTGTGCGGGAGGCAACCAACGGATGTTTCTCTCTCTCTCTCTCTCTCTCTCTCTCTCTCTCTCTCTCTCTCTCTCTCATTCTCTCTCTCTCTCTCTCAAAAAAAAGAAAAAAAGAGTCTTTCCTTACTTGTCTCTAACTAGCATGTTAGGCAGAGGGGTCCGGGATTTGGGCATTTTGTTTTCGGCAGCACCTACTAGTAGAATGCCTGGCACACAGTAGGTGCTCGCTCAGTGTTTGCCAGACGATGAATGGCTCTCCGCAAAGCTGCCTGGTTCGTGGGTAGCCCTGGAGGCCCACGGGTGAGAGCCTGCTTTGCGGGCCCTGTCTGGCCCCATCATGGTCTGTGCCTCGGTGTGCGCATCCGTCCGCGGAGCTCTGGGGTGAGGCGCACGTGAGACAAGCCCGCACAGGCCAGCACTTCCAACAGTAGGTGCCGCCCTGCCTTCGCGGTCGGGCTTCGAGGGTGGCTCCTAATTGGCTCAGAGCGGGCGTGCAGGCTGGGCCTGGGGGGAGGCGAGGGCGGGGTCAGGGGCCCAGAAAGGATGGGGTCCACCCCTTCTCCAGAATGAGGAAGGAGGGCCCAGACAACTGCTGGGACCCAGACTGCGTGGAGCCCTTCCCCAGCCGCCCCGCCCCGCCCTCCCCAGGGGCACCCACCTCTCCTGGCTGCCACAGTCAACCTGTTAGGCCGGGCTGGGCAGGTCTGGAGATGGGCGGGGAGCCCTGAGCCTCCGCACCCCCTCTCCTGCTCCTCCTCCTCCCCCACTGCCCTGTGCCCGGCACTCAGGCCTCTCCGAGCTGGGCTGCCTGGGTGCCTGAGGCCAGGAAGCCGGGGGTCCCCAGGGGGGTGACCCCCAAGAAGAGGGCAGCCGCTTCACGCTTGGCTGCCGGGAGCCCTTCCTGGAGCCGTCAGGGTGGGGGTCCCCTCCCCCAGGGGGCCGGGGCCATGTTGCCTTGTGCCTTCTGAGGCCCCCGCATCATGGCCCGGTCGCTGACCTGGCACTGCTGCCCCTGGTGCCTGACGGAGGAGGAGAAGACGGCCGCCCGGATCGACCAGGAGATCAACAAGATCCTCCTGGAGCAGAAGAAGCGGGACCGAGGGGAGCTGAAGCTGCTGCTTCTGGGTGAGTCCAGGGCCTGGCGAGCGGGCAGAGGGAAGAGGGCTGGAGGAAAGGGTCCTGGCCTTCGGGGTGGGAGAACCTGGGAACCCATTCGCCAGATGGGAAGACTGAGGCACAGAGAACCCCGGTTCCTTGTCCAAACATGGGTCCAGCCATCTTGCGGAGCATCTGCAAGAACGGAGGTGGCCCCACGGGATGGCCTGGCAGGCCCAGCACGCCCTACCGGCTGTGTCATGGGAAGGGAGCCATGAGCTCAGGTCTGCCGCCCGCCCGCCCGGGCCAGTGCGCCCTGGCCTCTCCCTCTGTCACCGTTCCCCACGGCCCCCCAGTTCCTCTCTCGCTGCCACACCACCAGCTGGGAGGGCTGGACCCCAGTTCTGCAGGTTGGCTAGCATGAGTTTTGTGGGCGGAGCGTTGCCACTTCATTGTGATTGATCGATTGGTTCATTCAAACGATCAAGATCTATTAAGTAACTCCTGGAGACACAGCAGCAAAAGATATGGGAGTTGTCCCAGCCTCCATGGACCTCATCTTCTCATGAGGGAGAGAGACATTAAGCCCATAAACTAATAAGCAGATAAAATAGTTCCCAGCAGCTAGAAGATTGAGGAGGAAAATTAAACCAGATGAGGGAGTCGGGGTGACTGGAAAGGCAGTAGATTGTGACCTCTGAAGCCTCAAGTCTTGTTGTGTCCACGTGTCCACTCCCCTAACCACTTTGCCCTGTGTACGGCCCCAGGGATGCGGGCCTCGGAGGGTCTCCCAGGACTCCCTGAACTCTGGGTGGGGGCTGGGGAAGGTCCTGAAGTCACATCTGCCTGGGAGGCTCCAGTCCCCTCTCTCTTCCCTTGCTCAGTGGGAAGCCCTGAGGACCGGAGAGAGGAGAGAGAGTGGGTGGGAGCACTGGACCCCTAGGAATTACACCTTAACTGAGGGACCTTCCAACTTCTAACATTGCTCTCTCTTGCTGAACTAGTTACCCCACCCCCTCATTCATTTCTCCAAGAAGATCTGACATGGCATAGAACGCAAACTCCGGCCCCCTGACCCCTCCAACCCCAGCTCTGCTTACTGGCCAGCATGTTCCAGCTGCAGACACCTGGCTTCTTTGCTCTTCATTGAATATTTCATGTCTTCCTTAAACATTTGGTAAAATCATCAATGAGCTGTCTGAGCCTGAAAAGTTTTTAATTAAGAATTTAATTGCCTTAATAGCTATTTCTATTTTATTTTCTTCATAGATAGGCTATCATTATATTAATAATAGAGGTGACATATTCATATATTATTTATTATTTTTAATAAATAGGGCTATTTAAGTTATCTATTCTTGAGTAAGCTTTAGTTATTGGTGTCTTTCAAAGAATTTGTTGATTTCTTTAAAATTGTTAAGTTTATGGGCATAACATTGTTTACAACATTCCCTTATCGTCCTTTTTGCGTGTGTAGGCTCCAAGTGATGCCATTCTTTAATTCTTTTGTTTGTTTGTTTGTTTGTTAATCCTCACTTGAGGATATTTTTCCATTGATTTTTAGAGAGAGTGGAAGGGATGGAGAGAGAGAAACATCGAAGTGAGAGAGACACAGAGTGGTTGCCTCCTGCACACACCCCAACCAGGGCGGGGGATTGAGCTTGCAACCGAGGTTTGTGCCCTTGACCGGAATAGAACTTGGGACCCTTCAGTCTGCAGGCCAGCGCACTATCTACTGAGCCAAACTGGCTAGGGCCCTTCTTTAACTCTTCGTTTTTAGTCCTTTTTCATGTCTAGGCCTTTACCGATGTTAGTGATCTTTCCTTGTACATTTCAAGTTCATTTATCTGAACCCCAGGACCTTTGCACTTGCTGTTCCTCCTGCCAAGAGCTCTCAGTGTCACCCCAGCCTTTGCACGGCTGGCACTGTCACTCAAGCAAGGTCCCAGCTCAACTCTTACCTCCCCAGAGAAGTTTTCCCTGAATTCCGTGGCTACACGGGCAGCCTCATCCCTCTCCATCCTCGGCTTGACTTTTCACTCACTGACACTCTTCAGTGTTTACCTGTTTATGGTCTGCCTCCTCCAGTGCAAGAGTGGGGACCGTGTCTGTCTCATTCACTCCTGAGCCCCCAGCAACTAGCCCAGAGGACAATGAGCCTGACGTATAGTAGGTGCCTGGTGCACGCTTTGTAAATGAGTGAACAACTGAATGAATGAGTCAGTCAGTCCCGATTCAGGGGCAGTTTGCCCCAGAGCTGGACCATCTTCCTGGAGTGGGGAAGGTCCCTTGCCCGACACCACTCTGACCACTGCACAGCCAGCCCCAAATCAGGGCGCCCCTTCTGCTGGTGTGGGGAAGGGGCAGGGAGAGGAGGCTGTGTGTGTCCCCAAGCACTGATGTTGCCTTGTGGGCTGGTTTCGACCACCCCATCCATCCCTGCCCTGAGGCCGCCTCCACACCTCCCTCCCTTCTTGAAAAGAAGTTCTTTTTTCCTGAAGGTTTGCTGATCCTTTTGAGGATGAAGGCCAGGGGCTACAGGGTGGGAGGGGAAAATTGTCTGTCCATGACAGGAAGTGATCACCACGTTGGGGAGGGGAACAGAATGAAGCCAGCTCTGTCCATAGCCCCAGATGGGGACACCAAGGACCAGGGAGGTGAAGGGACTTGCCCAAGGTCACACAGCCAGAGCAGAGCCCAGAATTCCAGTTCCAAGTCCGTGTGTTTGCCCTTCCTGTGAACGTGCCTCAGGAGAGAGAAGCCACAGAACCCCAGTGACAGACAGGGAAACCGAGGCCCAGGGCCGTGGCAGCATTGGTCGGGGCCAGTGGCCAGTCTGCCCCCCACTCCCTGCTGCCCAGACTGGCTCCTGTACCCCAGGAACCCCATTTCCCGGGCGGGGGAGTCCGGGACTGCCTTCCCTCTGGCAGGAGCCACATGCTGTCTCGTGATGCCCTGGAGCTTGGCCCGCTCCTCCGGGCAGCTGCTGGGTTCCGCTTCCTCGTCCATCCCAGGGGGAAGTATCACTTCCCGTCTGGGCGGCGAGGCCCCGCCAGGTGGATGCAGCTGCCCCCACAGCCCCCGGCCCCACGCGGGGGTTTCCTGAGGCAGACCAGGAGCCGGGCTGGAGACGTTCCAGGGCCTTCGTGGCTTCAGGACTGGCATGAGCTGCCAAGAGGGGTTCCAGCCGGGGAGTGAGTTCTTCAGAATTCAGGCGTGATCCATTCATGAGTCACAAAATCCATGTTGTGGGCAGAGACCAGAGTTTTTTTTTTTTTCTTCAATAAAACAGAAGAGATGAGAAGGAAAGAAAAATCAGTGCATTGCAATGGTGTCAACTGTTGCTTCCTGAGACCTGGGTTCTCTACTTTGGGAGGAGGCCCGAGGGCTGAGGGTTGGAAGGCAGCCGAGAGGTCAGAGGGGGCAGCACCCGGAGGGCGTCCAGCTTGTGAGTGTCTGTAGAAAGGTCACTTAACAGGTCTGTCGATGTCACCTGACCCCCCGGGCTGGCCTGTCCCTTTCTGTGGCTGAAGGGCCCACAGGGCCTGACTTTCGTGCTCCGCTGCTCCGCCAGCTGTGTGACCCCGGGGAAGGCGGGCCACCTCTCTGAGCCCCGCGTCTCCTCTGTCAATGGACACGCAGCAGGGACCTTAGGAGGACTGACCGAGGGCACGCACAGGGCGCCTTGTCCCTGTCCTGGCAGATGCCAAGAATTAAGTCATGCCCACTGTGACGATGAAGATGATGCCAACTGCTGTTATAATTGTCATCATTGAGGCAGCACATTTGGAGCTGCTGGTGTGATCATTTAAAAGCCCGTGAGCTCTGGACTCCGACAGAACTGGGTTTGACCCAAGGCAGTCCCCTCAACACATCTGGGATTCAGTTTCCCTACCTTGGGGTCCAGCCATGGCCAGTGTGCTCAATGGTTAGAGCACCCACCCACGTACCAAAGGTTCGAGGGTTCGCGTCCCTGGTCAAGGGCATGTACCTGCGTTGCAGATTTGATCCCTGCCCAGATCGGGGGTGCCTGTGGGAGGCAACCAATTGGTGTGTCTGTCTTAAATCGATGTTTCTCTTTTCCTTTTTAAATATATTTTATTGATTTTTACAGAGAGGAAGGGAAAGGGATAGAGAGTTAGAAACATCGATGAGAGAGAAACATCGATCAGCTGCCTGCGCACACTCCCTACTGGGGATGTGCCCGCAACCAAGGTACATGCCCTTGACCGGAATCGAACCTGGGACCCTTCAGTCCGCAGGTGGATGCTCTATCCACGGAGCCAAACTGGTTAGGGCAATGCTTCTCTTTTTTTTGTCTCTCCCTCTCTCCCCGCTCCCTCTTTTCCTTCCACTCTCTCTACAAATCTATGGGGAAATATCCTCGGGTGAGGATTAACAGCAAAGAAAGGGAGGCTCAGGTGAGATGGTGCCTCATGCCCTCAGCTCTCAGCGCCCAGCCACTGCTGCCACCCCTGATGCCAAACTTCTGAAGCCTGGAGGTTCCCCAGGTTTCTCAATGGGAAGCGAGGCCGGGGGTTTCTATCGCTGACCGCGACGTCCAGATATTTCACTTCCGGACTATTTAGTGAGCTTGACGTGTCCTCTTCCTGAAAGTCAAGGAATTCCAGAATCCGAGACACACGGCCCCGGCTTGGAGAGCTCCAGATTAGGGGCCTGTGGGACCTGTGAGGTGCCTTGGTGTGTGTTTCTCTTAAAGAAAACTTTTTATTTGGGAGTAATTTTAGATCTACAGGAAAGTTTAAAGATAGCACACAGGGTGCCCTCTACTCCTAAGCAGCTTCCCTCACATTCAGCTCTTATAGACCTGCAGCCCCATTTTTTCCCTTCTTAGCTTGTTTTAAAATGCGTTCCGACTTATAGGAACGTTGTGCCTGGCTTCTTCTACAACAGTTTTTTCTTTTTAATTTATTGATTTTAGAGAGAGAGGGGCAGGGGGAGAGAGAGAGAAAAAAACATTGATTTGTCGTTCCGCTTACTTACCAGTACGTATTCATTGGTTGCTTTTTGTATGTGGCCTGACCGGGGATTGAACCTGCGACCTGGGCCCATCCTGGCGATGCTCTAACCAGCGGAGCTAGCTGGCCAGGACTGTAAATGTTAGCATTGGACCGCATTCCCTTTATTCTCCTCCCCCAAATATATAGCATGTATGTGCTACATGGAAGTGTATGTACACGTATGATTTATTGGATGCATGGTTACAGCTGTCATTTCTTTACTATAGAGTTAATAGGCACATAGTCATTGTTTTCTGAACTGTTTGTAGCTTGCAGACCTGGAGCCTTCTTACCCCTGAAGACTCCAGGGGATTTGAGTCTCACCACAAAGCAGAGACTCCCCAGGACCATGAACAAAGCTGGCGATGAGCGAGGGGCACTGCTGTCAGCAGGGCACACCTGGCTCACCGCTGCCAGCTTTCCCGCTTCCCCCACTAACGTCCTATATGGCAACACAACAGCGTCTCTTTTTCTTAGGCCCCGATTCCCGTGGACTTATAACACCCGGTGCCACCTCCGACCTGCCCTTGTCACCCTCAGATGTCCTGGCGGGGGTGGGGGGCAGGGACAGGATACCCTGGGGGCTGATGCAAGGCAGCCCCCTCCTTCTCCTGCCTCCGACACTCTCCACCCTCCTCCCTGCTCCCCCCTCTGTTCCCATTTCCTCTTTCTTGGCTCCACCAGGCCACCCCTTCCCTTTTTGCTGCTTTTCCAGTTCCTCCTGCTGCAGTCCCCCCTTTAGTCCCTGGAAAGCCCCCACACCTGTGTCCCCCAGGAGCCACGCAGGTTGACCAGATACTGGAGGAGCCTTCCGGGCTTGCACCTCCCACCTGGCCGTCACACCCATTTTACAGACAGAAAACAGAGGCACGGAGAGAGAGGGAGGCTCTGGAGCTCAGACAGCCGGGAGCGGAACCTTGGTCTTGGAGCTTCTGGTCCGGGGCCCTTGAAGATTCCAGAATTGATACCACAAGCCCAGGGCTGGCTTTGTGTGTGAACAGCCTGGGCGGCCCCCAGTGCCCTCACTCCGAAGGGTCCTGAGGTTTTCATCTTGCACTTGGCCCTGTCGGCTCTGCAGCTGGCCCCGGAAGGGCCCCTCTCCCCGTTCTGGTTCATAGCAAGGCTAGGACTGTTGATTCTGTCTCCCAAACATCTCACCAGCTCCTGGATCCACCCCATCCCGGTGCCTCTCAGCCCTGGTACCCCTCAGCCTGTCCTCCTCCACCGCAGCCATCAGAGGGCGCATATGAGCACCTGAGTCACGTCCGTCCCTCTGTCCTCAGCCCTCCAGGAATCCCACCTCCCTGGGGTAAAAGCCCAAGTCCTCCCCCAAGGCCCTGCATGACCTGCCCTGTCCCTTCCATCACAGTGGTTCTCAACCTAGTAATGCCGCGACCCTTTAATACAGTTCCTCATGTTGTGGTGACCCCCAACCATAAAATTACTTTCGTTGCTACTTCATAACTGTAATTTTGCTACTGTTATGAATAGTCATGTAAATATCTGATATGCAGGATGTATTTTCATTGTTACAAATGGAACATAATTAAAGCATAGTGATTAATCACAAAAACTATGTAATTATATATGTGTTTTCCGATGGTCTTAGGCGACCCCTGTGAAAGGGTCGTTCGACCCCTAAAGGGGTCGCGACCCACAGGTTGAGAACCACTGCTCTATCACCTCCTCCCTTCACTCCCCTCCAGCCTCACAGGGCCTCCTGGTTGTCTGTGGTCTACAGGGAGAAAACAGCCATAGACTATTCAATCACACATGGGTGTGGTCGTGTGCCAATAAAACTTTATTGATAGACACTGAAACCTGAATTTCATATAATTTTCACAGGATATGAGACAATTTTCTTTTGATTCCTTTCAAGGTAAAAACCAGAACCATAGCCAAAACTGGTTTGGCTCAGTGGATAGAGCGTCGGCCTGTGGACTGAAGGATCCCAGGTTCGATTCCGGTCAAGGGCATGTACCTGGGTTGCGGGCACATCCCCAGTAGGAGGTGTGCAGGAGGCAGCTGATCGATGTTTCTCTCTCATCGATGTTTCTGCCTCTCTATCTCTCTCCCTTCCTCTCTGTAAAAAATCAATAAAATATATTTTACTCCCCCCCCCAAAAAACAACCAGAACCATAAAAAGTATCAGAAACAGAAAAAAACATACAAACTGTAAAAACTCCCCAGCTGTGCACAGACAGGCTGTGTCTGGATGTAGCCCGAGGGCCACGTTTGCAGACCCTCCCAGGAGCCCCTCACACTGAACGCGCAGGCAGGGCCTATGGAGATCCATGGTGCACAGGCAGGGAGACTGAGGCAGAAGCGGTGGACGCTCACCAAGGTCATAGTGTGGCCTGGGCCCAGGGGTTTGAACGCAGGAAGTCCGGGTTGAGACTGAGCGATGGCTCGTGTCCGCAGGCCCAGGTGAGAGCGGGAAGAGCACGTTCATCAAGCAGATGCGCATCATCCACGGGACTGGCTACTCGGAGGAGGACCGCAAGGGCTTCCGGCCGCTTGTCTACCAGAACATCTTCGCGTCCATGCGGGCCATGATCGAGGCCATGGACCAGCTGCAGATCCCCTTCAGCAGGCCTGAGAGCAAGGTGAGCGTCCTGGGGCTGCCGCGTGGGTGCCACAGGGGGGCGGGTCCCCACCAGCCCCCCCTCACATGTCCCCCATGCATCCCCAGAGCTCATCCCTTGGACCCCTTGGGCCCCTTGGGCGTGGGAATCCTGAACCAATGGCCGTTCCCCTGTGGAAATATTAATACAATGGACTGATGACTGCAGGGAAAGGCTGCTGTGCCATTCATGCATCACACCCCCTTTTTAAGAACACACATTACTGTATTGTGGTAAGAACACTCAACATGAGATCTACCCTCTCAGATTTTAAGTGCAGGTTCGGTACTAGCTGGAGGAAGGATGGGCTCAGAGCTCTAGAACGATCCGTCCTACTGAGGGAAACTCAACCTGGCCATCCTACCTGACTAGCGACTGCACGTGGCCCCTCCCCAAGCCTGTCTCCCTGTTCCCTTGAGTCTGCCTGTTCCGGATGCCTCCTGTAATGGGGTAGTGTAGTATTTTTCTTTCATGGCTGGCTTATCTCATTTAACATGAGGTCCTCAAAGTTTATCCACGTGGACACCTATTGTAGAATTTCCTTATTTTTATTTTATTTTAAAAATATTTTTATTGATTTCAGATAGTGAGAGGGAGAGAGAGAAACATCAATAATGAGAGAGAATCATTGATGGGCTGCCTCCTGCACGCTCCCTACTGGGAGTCAAACCATGACCTCCTGGTTCATAGGTCGATGCTCAACCATTGAGCTACACCAGCTGGGCTTTTATTTTATTTTTCAGTTTTGCAGTTACATTCAATATTATTTTGTATTCGTTTTAGATATACAGAATAGTGGTTAGATGACCATATACTGGACAAGAATTTCCTTTTTCTTTTTAAAAAAATATAGTTTTATTGATTTCAGAGAGGAAGGGGAAGGGATAGAGAGATAGAAACATCAATGATGAGAATCATTGATCGGCTGCCTCCTGCATGCCCCCTACTGGGGATCGAGCCCGCAACCCGGGCATGTGCCCTTGACCAGAATGGAACCTGGGACCCTCTATCCACTGAGCTAAACCAGCTAGGGCAAGAATTTCCTTCTTTTTAAAGACTGAATACTATTCCACTTATGGACCACATTTTCTTTTTTTTTTTAAGTTTTGTTTTATTGCTTAAAGCATTACAAAGAGTATTACATATGTCTCCTTTCCCCCCCTTGACATTCCCCCAGCCTCCCCTCCCCCCCAGTGTCTTGTGTCCATTGGTTATGCTTATACGCATACATACAAGTCCTTCGGTTGATCTCTTACCCCCCGCCCCCCCCAAGGACCACATTTTCTTATTCATTCATCTGGGTTTTTTCTACATTTTGGCTATTGAGAATAGTGCTGCCATGAACACGGGAGTGCTCATATCTTTTCGAGATATGCTTCCCAGTTTTTGGAATGAACTCCTAGAAGTAGAATTGCTGGATCATATGGTGATTCTATTTTTAAGTTTTTGAGGAACCTCTATACTGTTTTCCATAGTGGCCACATCACTTTGAATTCCCACCACAGTGCATGGGGTCCCCATTTCCCCACATCCTCACCCACACGTGCCGTTTTCGGTGTGGTTGTTTTTCATAATGGCCATGCGAATGGGGGTGAGGTCACATTCCCTTTCTAAAACCTGGAAGCATCTGGTTTGTGAATATGAAGTGGTCCAAGGACGTTGGAAGAGGGACTGGAGGCTGTGGTTCCTACCTCACAGGGCTGATGTGAGTGAGGATGTGATCAATTAAAGGTGCTGAAAGCTCTCAAAACAGTGCCTGGAATGCAGTCTGGGCTCAGTCGTGTGAGTGGTGATATGATTATTTAATCTTCACAACAACCCCTTTCAGCGATCACCCCAGTTTAGAGATGGGACAGGGGCTCCCCCTGAGGATAACCACGTCTCATCTTTCATCGCCATGTATGAGCTGCCTATTTTTTAAATTCTCGAATTTTCTGGAATGATCGTTTACGTCTGTCTTCTGGTGCCGTATGTCTGTGATTCATTTATCTTTTGGGGGCCACGGTCAATTTATTTGTCCATTCTAATGTTGCTGACCTTTGGGTCATTTGCATATTTCTGTTGGGTGTCTACCTAGAAGGAACACGTAGAAGACACTGTTTTCCAAGTAATTGTAGCAAATCGCACGCCCCCCCCAGCAGAGCTCCGGTTGCTCCCTGTCCTAGCAACACTTGATGTTGCCGTCGCTTCATTTAAGCCAGTGGTTCTCAACCTTCCCAATGCCACGACCCTTTAATATAGTTCCTCATGTTGTGGTGACCCCCAATTTCATTGTTACAAATTGAACATAATTAAAGCATAGTGATTAATCACAAAAACAATATGTAATTATATATGTGTTTTCCGATGGTCTTAGGCAACCCCTGTGAAAGGGTCGTTCGACCCCAAAAGGGGTCGAGACCCACAGGTTGAGAACCGCTGATTTAAGCCATTCTCGTGGGTGCTTGGTGGCATTTCATTGTGGTTCTTGTTTTTGTTTTAAATATATTTTTATTGATTTCAGAGAGGAAGGGAGAGAGAGGTAGAAACATCAATGATGAGAGAGAATCATAGATCGGCTGCCTCTCGCACACCCCACGCTGGAAATCGGAGCCTGCAACCCAAGCTTGTGCCCTGACCAGGAATCGAACCATAACCTCCTGGTTCATAGGTTGATGCTTAACCACCGAGCCGCGCCAGCTGGGCTCATTGTGGTTTTGATTTCCATTGCTCTGATGAATGATGAGCTCGTGCACCTTTTCATATGTTTGTTGGACACTTGGATGCTCTTTTTTGTGAAGCAGCTGTTCAAATCTTTTGCCTATCTTTTTCCCCACTTAAAAAAGTACAATTCCTCAGTTTTTTCTTTCCTGATTTATAGCAAATTCTATAATTTGTATATTCTGGATATAAGTGCTTTCTTACTTTCACATCTATTGTTAGATTATTCCTAGGTATTTTCTAGCTCTTGATGCTACTATAAATGTGATTTAAATTCTTAAAATTTTCCACTAGTTAGTGGTTAGTATATAGACACATATCTGATTTTCATTTATTGATCTTTCATTTGGGGACCCCGTTAAGTTCACTTGTTTATTCTAATAGTTTATCTACAGACTATTTTGGATTTTCTACACAAAGCCGTGTCGTCTGTGCATAACCACATGTAATTTCTCCCATTGCAAACCCGACCTTTTATTTCTTTTTCATGTGTTAATTAGAAATGGCGTGAGTGGGCCTCGTTGTCTCGTTCCCAGTCTCCTGTTGTTTTAAGAGCGAAGGACCCATATTCACTTCCTTCCAATCACATTAAGGACTATTCAGGGCCTTCACTGAACATAAATTTTACTCTGAATTTTTAGAAGGATGTGTCTCTTAATTTTTACTTTTAAAATTCTTAATCATCTTTTTAAAACTTTGAAGTTAATGCGTTTTCAGGCTGTGTATTAGTTTGCTCAGGCTGCCATCACCAAGCGCCACCGTCTGGGGAGCTTATACGTCAGACATTTACTCTTTCACACTCTGGAGGCTGGACGCCTGAGGTGAAGGTGTTGGTGGGGCTTGTTTCTCCTGAGGCTTCTCTCCTTGGCTGGCAGGTGGCTTCTTCTCTCCGTGTCCTCACATGGTTGTCCTTATTCTCTTCCTGTAAGGACACCGGTCATAGATCAGACCAGGACCCACCCTAATGACCCAATTGGAACTGGATCACCTCTGTAAAGACCCCCATCTCCAAAGACAGTCACAGCCTGCGGTCCTCCGGGTTAGGACTTACACTTAGGAATGTGTGGAGGACATGGGTGGTGGACAAAACCCGGCCATAACAGGCCGCGAGCCGTCTCATTGATCCTCTGCAGGGTTATGCTCACACCCCCAGGCCTTCCCCCGTCCCCACCCCTGGGGCTGTCACGTGCCCTCCCTCAGGGAGAGACCTGGGCCAGGTGCTTCTCGTGCCTCAGTAGCCTAATCCGTAAACTGGGGGCATCGGTAAGGGACTTGTCTCCTTGGAAGTCAGGGAAACCAGTGCCTGTGCGGAAGGGGGAGCCCCGCGGGTAAGAGGCCTCAGTGCACACCGGGCCATGGTCTCTGAGCTCGTTTCTCTGCTGCCCTGGTACTGGGGCAGCACATTGACGCCACGCTCCCTCCGTGGGCAAATGCATGAAGGAGCGCCCGATGGCGGTGGGGAGGGGCAGGGTGCGCACAGGTGGGAAGGAGAAGCAGCGGAGAAAGGAGGGGAGGGCCTGGCTGGGATGTCAGGAGGCTGCACTGACCTGCCTCGTCCTTCCCTCCAGAACTATGCCAGCCTGGTCATGAGCCAGGACCCCTACAAAGTGAACACCTTTGAGAAGCGCTACGCCGTGGCCATGCAGTGGCTGTGGAGCGACGCTGGCATCCGGGCCTGCTACGAGCGCCGGCGCGAGTTCCACCTGCTGGACTCCGCAGTGTAGTGAGTCTGGGGTCACGGCGGCGGGCGCGGGGCGCAGGGTGCGGGGCGGGGGGCGCGTTGGGCACAGCTGCAGGTTGGAGAGGCAGCCAGCGGAGACCCAGTGCCAGGATTGCACCTGCACAGAGCGGGTCCCAGGGGGCCGACTCCCCCCCGCCCGGGGACTGGCTGTTGGGCATCCGCTGGCTGTGCGATGGTTGACGTTGTTCCTGGGGTGAGGTTGTTTTGGGATGACATTGTCTCTGGGGTGACATTGTCCCTGGAGTGACCCTGTTTTGGGGGTGATGTCATTGGTGGGGTGACACAGCTGCTAGGGTGAATCTGCCCCAGGGGACACCACTTCTGGGGTGACACTGCTTATCATCACATGGTGATACTGTCCCAGGGATGATGGTGGATGCCCGGGGTGGTGTCACTCCTGGTGACAGCCCCCAAGGTGACACCCCTCTGCAGCGCTGCTGTTCTCGGGGTCACACCATCCTTGGGGTCACGCTGCTTTAGGGGTGAAGCTGCTTCTCCCAGGGCTCCCATGGCCTCAGGGTGGTGCTCCTGGGGCTCCCGCAGACGCCAGAGATCCTGGCCCCTCGTGGGGGGCTCTCTCCTATCAGGGTCCTCACGGGGCCCTGGGGGTGGGCTGAGAAGCCAAGGAAGTCTGCGGGGCCAGGCTCAGGGCTCCCTGCTCCCCAGCTACCTGTCGCACCTGGAGCGCATCACCGAGGAGGGCTACATCCCCACCGCCCAGGATGTGCTTCGCAGCCGTATGCCCACCACCGGCATCAACGAGTACTGCTTCTCCGTGCAGAAAACCAACCTGCGGTGAGTGCAGGGCCTCCTGGGCTGGGAGTGCTTCCTGGAGGAGGGGCAAAGCAGCTGGGGCCCTGAGGAAGGAGTAGGCGTTTCCTAGACCCCGCCCTCAAGGGGCTCCTAGGTTGAAGGAGGTAGAATTGGACATAAACACCCCTTTACCGCCCTCCCCCCCATACAGTCAGAACCGGGACCTGGAAGAGCCCAGAGTGAGGCACCAGAGCTCCAAGGGGGAAATCTTCCTGGAGGAGGGGACACTGGTATTAGGGCATTGAAGGATGAGTAGGAGTTCTCTAGTTCCGACCCTTGAAGGGCTGTTGTGCAGGAGAAGACAGAGACTGTGTGGTCAGAGCTGTGCCAGAGGGGTGGATTTGGACTGGGAGGCTCAGAGGCTGGTTCCTCTAGTGATCAACAGGGGGGTGAGACTAGAAGTCCAGAGAGTCAGGAGGAGGCAGGAGCCATGGTCCAGGCAGGAAGGGTTAGTCATGGCCAGGGCAGTGGCCATGGGGATGGGAATAGGGGGATGGTGCAAGAAATGTTTCTGATGTAGAAGGGGCAGGACTAGATGAGTGTGGGACTGAGAGCAGGGAGCTGGAAATGTCTCCCAGTTTTCCCATCAGGGTGACAGGGTAGGAGGTGGAGCCACCATGGCGGCGGCAGCAGGATGGGGGGTATTAGATAAGAGGATAAAGTCCTTGGGGCACATAGAGTCTGAGGGTCTAGGGCACCTGGGAGGTGACTGGGCACACACAGGCCGGAGCTGGAAGACAGAGGTGTGGATGGGCATGCAGCATCATGGCGTCGGGAGGGTGATGCCTAGTGTCAAAGGCCAAGGAGAGGTCAGGAAGAATACAGCAGAAGCGACTTCTGAGATCGGCAGTTAGAGTGTCATCAGTGTCCTTAGCAAGCTCCGTGTCTGTGGGCTGATGACGGAGCTGTGGAGAGTGCAGGGTGATGCCTGGAGACGGGGTGGTG